AAGTGCACTATCAATGGTATGCGTGTATTAACTACGGCTCACAACTCGTAGAGTACGGCATACCTGAGCTGACAGAGTATGTGCACGAAGTGATGCATGAGGTTCGGGGCAATCTATGGTGGTCGTCGATATGTACTAGGTACATTGTCGGACCTCAATATGATCATTATATCAATGTAAACTAATCTTGTGATTGTGAGGTGTTTAATAAACACAATTTTTTTGTTTATAATATATTTTTGCATCGTTTAATTTAAAACCTTTTATCAAATTTAAATAACTTACCATTGTAAAGGGCCTGTCATTATATTGTAGACATACGTATGAATTAATTATATTAAATATGTAAAGTTTAGCTAAATAACATACATTTATGTTTTATTTGTGCTATACTGTGCCTAAAAGGCCAGGTAATCAAATGGTCCCGATTCTGCGCTCCGGCCAACGATCTGACCAAAGGGTTTAAATGCCGGACAGAGTTCCGTATCGGCGCCCGCATTGATGAGTGCACTTGTGATCGCGATTTCTGTAACCATTCATCGCAATTGAAATTACATATTATTTTTGTTATGATATCTCTGTTGCTATCAATAAGTCATGTCATTTGATTTGTGTTTAAAATCTTGTGTAATTATTATTACAGAATATTTAACTTTTAATTTTGTTATTTTTGGTATAATTTATCTTAAGTATGTAAAGGTAAAATGAAATTTTACCTAGAATTTATATTTCAACTATTTTTGAAATAATTAACTTTAACCTTAACTCATAAATAAATTAATTTTAACCCTTTTTCCATACAAACACTGCTGACAATACACACAATATTGTACACATAGTCCCAGAATAACTCTAATGTACCTCAAAGTGACCCAATTTGGTCCCTATTTAAGGCCCACTCTATACCAACTAAAGACAGTGTCTACAGAATAAGCCATAATGTAAGGCAACTCATCATTCATACACACGATTAGTGTGTTTAACACTATTTGTGTTAAAATTAAATAAAATGTATTTTTCATAAATTGTGAAAATAATTAAAATAAAATAAAAAGTTATTTAAAACATCAAAATGTTTTACAAGTATAAAATTTTATAAAATTGTTTTAATTAAAGGTAATATTTTTAAAACGTTAATTAAATGCGGATATAAAATAATAAACATAATAAAACTAAAAATAAATAAATGTGATAATTATGACAAACAAAATTATATAAAATGTATAGAATATTGCTTTTCATTTCGTTTGCTATTTATAGTCACAAATATAATACAAATTATACTAACATAAGAAAATAACTGATTTATTAAACACACAATGATTTTGCAAAATTCACTATCATTTGTATTAAATGTAATTCATTTCAAATGTAATGCAATTGAATTATCAGAAACAGTAGAGACGTAAGTGAAGTAATGTATTTCTATGAGAGACTCAAAGCTGTGATAACTTGAAAAGTTCATATCCCATTTTGACAAACTATATACCAAATTGTTTGGAATAAAATATGCCTCGAGATGTATATCAGGATTATTCTTGTAAACAGGGTGAATATGAGTATTGTGATATAAAGTGATAAAATATACACAATTGTAACTCCTTACCATTTAAAATCTACATGTTAAATTTTAACAATCAGCATATAAAATTGTTCGTAATTAAATATTAAAAGACATAATTTGTAAAATTTACAATATTTCAATATTAAACTATAATAATTAGGTAGCTATTTGTTCTATATCGATTTATAGATGTCATAATTAGAATATCAAAAATCTGAAAATTTACTTTTTGTATCATTCAATTGCAAACAATTTAATATGCTGATTGTTAAAATTGAGCATGTAGATTTTAAATGGTAAGGAGTTACAATTGTGTATATTTTATCACTTTATATCACAATACTCATATTCACCCTGTTTACA